CTTACCAAATCCTCGATTTGAGTTCAGACATACTCGAGAGTATGTCCGAATCCGTCAAACCAAGGCTCTAATACCAACTTGTAACGTCCAAAAATTCAAATAAAATATTCTCTTTTAAATTCATTTCGATCATCTGATAATTATATTAAAATAGTCAAATTTATATCATAATATCATAGTATCAAAGTACGAATTCCAAAATCACAAAGATGCGAAAAACATGGGCATGTGGTGTGATTATGACGGGTCCTTCCCTTTTGAGTTGGAAGAACCTGTAACTTAAATTGAATACTGTGAGCACAAAGCTTAGTGGGCTCCCCCAAATTACCCCATACCATATATACATTCAACCAAACATATCTAGATATATTCCAACCTCTTCAGTCTCTTTTAACCGGTACTGGGTCTATTTCAACCCCTTTGGCCCCTTTCAATTGTTACTAGGTATATTCCAACCCCTTCAGTCTCTTTCAATAGGTACTGGGTATGTTCAAACCTCTTCGGTCTCTTTCAACTGGTATCAGGTTTATTTCACCCTCTACAACTAACATGCATACATATTAATACAAGTCACAAAGACATCAATCATATACAGACATAATTTGTAATTGTCACGAAGACAACTACCATCCTACAAACATAACCTAGTAGGTCGTCCTTGTTTCCTTTGACCTACGAGTACAACGAAGGAAACCCACCTCTCGATCAATAATCAACTATTGATGCTTGCATGCTCAACTACACTGGTGTTACTCCACACCTAGATAATCATGCAAAAGGTTACCCCTTCAAAACCAAGAGCTGAACAAAAGTCAATGTCTAAGGTCAAATGTCAACTTTCTCCTTAGTCCACCCTCACGTCGTGACCACTAAGGCTCACTCGTGAGAATGGATTTGAACCGGTACCACAAAGCAAGTTGACTCAGTTTCACTCATCTAACAGAATCCTCAGATCGAGATAACCACCTTTCTCACGTCGTAAGGTTCCATTCCTCACGTCACAACCACCTTTCTCACGTCGTGTGATCGGTTCTAACCAACTTTGAGCATGAAGCTCTTAATCCTTTAAGACATACATTAGGACATTCCAAAGCACCTTTCTCAACCCTAAGGACCATAAAAATCTTAGCTTTTCAGTCATGCATGTACAATGCATGACTTAAACACAAACTAGGTCAAAAGAAAGGTAATAAGATCAAGACTCATGCTTTGAGTTCAAAACCAACACCAAAACTTAGATCCAAGGGATTACATATAGAAGATGACTCAATGATCCATAAAGTTGCCAACTTTATGGATCAAAAGCATGTTACACCACCCAACCACGCAAAAAAAGGCTCTAAAGCTTAGATCTATCATGCATGAGGTAAAAAGGTAGGAGCTTTATGATTTACAAATGCCCCAAAGCTCAACAAGACCAAAAGGTAGAAGCTAGATTGCCAAAATGAAGCACCATAAGAGGCTTCTTTCACTTCAAAGAACCAAAAACCTCCAAGTAAGCTCTTCAAGATCAATAACAATGTCCAATGGTCTCAAGGAGGTTAAATTTAGGGTTTTTTTTTTTTTTTTTTTTTTTGGGGGGGGGGGGGGGGTAGAGAGTGAGAGTGGCTGAGGATGGGCAACCCTAACTCTCTTATTTCTTTAAATACTCAAAAATTAGGGTTTTGGGTCATCAGGCCTGGCTCATGTCATGAGACCTTATGCCTCACGTCGTAGGGTTTGTAAATATGGTTCAAATAATCAATGGTCACTCTCACATCGTGACCACTATGGCTTACATCGTGAGCCTCTTCCAAAATGAAAATATTCAAGAATATAAGTACCTCAAGGTTTCGAATGCTACATTTGTATTCACCATCCTCATCATATGAGAAGAACTAACATCAAAAGTTAGTTAATGTTTTTATTATAGTTGTTTGTACTTCGATTTGCACTTGTTGAACGATTTTGCCAACAATAGTTGAAGAATCCCTTTATTTCCCCAAAAATGTAATTGGCCTTGACATATACTATCTCATTGATTTCCAATTCCTATTTTTCAACTCATTTGTAATAAAAGAGAAAATGTGTCAAAATGGTAACTAAGTGCTGGTTTTATTCACATTTGGTCACTTCCTTTTTTTGTACGTAATATATCATTGAACTTGTTGTTTTTGTTCATCATAACCCTTTTGAGCTAATATCACTTGTGATAGCCTACCAAAAGTGTTATGATAAACACAAACAACAAGTTCGATGGTATATTGCATAAAAAAACAAAATGTGAACAAAATCAACATATGGTTATTCTCCTAAGTCATTTCCGAAAAAAAAAACCGATGGATGGGTATGCATTGGACTTGATCAAGGGTAGAGAGTAGGGATGCAAACTCGATTTTTGAACGACATTTTTTCTGTGTGTGTGTGGATACAGATAGAAGTTTTGAATTTTAATATGAATATTACATTTACATAATTTCTCATTTAACAAAATTTTTTTTTGTCAATTTCATATTGATGGGTAGTTTTGTAGTATGATTGTTACAAAAACCTACTTGAACATAAAGCCAAACCAACATTCAAAAAAGTCATTTCACTATGAAATCCGAAATTTCGAGCCCAACTATGAAACCTAATGAACAAATAAGATACGATAAAAACCTTTAAGATCAAAGTCAATCGACTCTTAGTGTTACAAAACTCAATCCTATTGTCACTTTGTAATGCTCATTGTTTTGCCAGTCAAATGTTAGTTTTCGTAATTATATATGATTTATGATTTATGATATTTTGTTATTAAAATTGTAAAAAAAAGGCTACTTTGTATAAGATAAATCACGTAAAATTACATTAAATCTATATAGTTCAGTTGTTTCAATAATTAAAATAAAAGTAAAAAAATGTTAAATATTCATAATTCTTTTTTTTTTTTTTTGGCTTTCTTACATCGACATTACTTGATAAAATGGTATACTTTCTCCTTTTGTTTCCTTCTGCTTTCTTTCGAATTTTACCTTATATAATAATTTTACTATTAACTTAATTAATTAAAAGATTTTGTAAAATGTACCAATGAAAGCCGCCCCTACCCACCCAAACAACACATGCAACAACCCTAATATTATATTGGATTCTTGTAGGATTAGAAAAGAGTAGGAGTAAAAGTCCAAAATTTTGAAACTCTGAGGTTCTAGTTTAATAAAGTGTAAATAAATATCATTTTATTTATAGTATACGATAAATCGAATAGTTCATAAAGTTGTCCCAAATGGAAAACCCCCCTTTGCTTGTTCTTTCTACTGGTTTTTGTGTTGTCTATGCTATCCTAACTTATACCATATGCTACATTTAATGTACTTGTGTATCAATACGTTATGCTGGCCTTCGCCGCCCAAAAAATATATTATTATCTACCTTAGAAATTGATAGACTATTTCAATCCACATTTTTTTAATCTTTGACTTCAATTGGTTTAAATGATTCTATTTATGGTGTTTGACATTTCTTACAAGTAGTAGGCTGTAACAATTTTAATAAACCGACACATACATACATGCTACATATGTAATCAAGGGTATATAGTGGCTCTTTTGTAAAACTTTATCAACTTAATACAACTCATAAGCAAATTGAAAATTTATAAATAGTAAGCTGTGGAAATACGTGCATAGATTAGGTAATGCATTATTATGGAAATGAGCAATTTAATTTATTTTGTTTCCATCAAAGATATTATCTTTGAATGAGGAAATTCGACTTGCATGTGAGATAATGAGAAAATGATTTGTTGACTTCAAAAGGTGACACCTTGCAAAAGAAAACACCAAAACATCATCTAGCACTCCATTGAATTTATTTTAGTCCCCATCATGTATATATATATATATATATATATATATATATATATATATATATATATATATATATATATATATATATATATATATATATATATATATATAAAGAAAAAGTAAAACAAAAACTTGTCAAATACAATCAGTTTTGATAATATCTTGTAAGAATTATAAAGAACAAGTAGACAAAATTTATTTTAAATATTTCTAAAAAAATCAAACCATTATATTTGAACTTATTTAAAAAAAAGTTATATTGCTTTTCCAAAGCGAAGTGGGATTGTAAATGTGAGGAATTTTATAATTTATACCGGAAGTGGCAGAGCACCTGTCTGGATCACAGCATAAAAAATTTGGAGCAGGTAATTAACATTCTATAAAATAATGTTACAGTACCTATTAATATTTATAATCCGTATTTAAAATTTCATTATTAGTTTAAAAAAAACATAATATTGACCTAAACTTATTTCTTTTGTTTACTAAGCTTAATAAATATATAAATAACGCTATTTTTGTATATTATCATCTTGAATATTTGCGTAGTAGTTGAATATCATTACCGAATTATTTATTATGACAAGTACTAGTTTTAATTAATTACCTAAATTGTCCAATACATCCATATTTTATAACCATGTCGATTATTGAAAAAAATAAATACTCTTCGGGTAATTTTTGGAGCAAGAAGATATGCACATAGTTTCAAATTAACAAAACGACCTTAAGTGAATGTAAATGAGTTGAGCCGCCTCTGAGTTCAGTAATGCTGAATATAATTAACTGTTTTAAGACTCGATCGTTAATAGTAAAAATATCATTTTATTACTGATTGTATTATATACGTAAATATGTATAAAGAGTAAACCATATATATATATAGACTTTATCTACAACGTATACAGGGGTTCAACCCGAGTTTAAGTTTTAACGATTCAAACCCATGTAAATGACCACTTAAAAAAGTAGAGCATGTGTCCCAGCTGTATTACCATTGGCAAGTTTTCTAATACACAAATTGCACTCTTACTCTCTGCCTGACAGCTTCCTTCTAACGACTATTCTCTTTGTCTTCTATCTATATATATATCATCAACTTTACTTCCAAACACATCACCTCATCATCTCTCTCCCTCTTCCACCCTCTTCACCCATCACCGGTGAACCATGAGAGTTACCGCCGGTGGCGGCCGCCCTTTAAGGGCTAATCTATGGCCTATTGTCATCGCATTCACGGTATTTGCTGTTGCTAACCTTGTAGCTGTTTCGGCTGATCCTTACATCTATTCATCACCACCTCCACCATACATTTACAATTCACCACCTCCACCCGTACATTCACCACCACCACCGTATGAGTACAAATCTCCACCACCACCGGTACATTCACCACCACCTCCGTATGTATACAAGTCTCCCCCTCCTCCTGTACATTCACCACCACCACCGTACGAATATAAGTCTCCACCTCCACCGGTGCATTCACCACCACCACCTTATGAGTACAAGTCTCCTCCTCCACCGGTGCATTCACCACCACCACCATATGAATACAAGTCTCCTCCTCCTCCACCGGTGCATTCACCACCACCACCTTATGAATACAAGTCTCCTCCTCCACCGGTGCATTCACCACCACCACCTTATGAGTACAAGTCTCCTCCTCCACCGGTGCATTCACCACCACCACCTTATGAGTACAAGTCTCCTCCTCCACCGGTGCATTCACCACCACCACCATATGAATACAAGTCTCCACCTCCACCGGTGCATTCACCACCACCACCTTATGAGTACAAGTCTCCTCCTCCACCGGTGCATTCACCACCACCACCTTATGAGTACAAGTCTCCTCCTCCACCGGTGCATTCACCACCACCACCTTATGAGTACAAGTCTCCTCCTCCACCAGTGCATTCACCACCACCACCATATGAATACAAGTCTCCTCCTCCACCGGTTCATTCACCACCACCACCATATGAGTACAAGTCACCTCCTCCACCGGTTCATTCACCACCACCACCATATGAGTACAAGTCTCCTCCTCCACCGGTTCATTCACCACCACCTCCTTATGAGTACAAGTCTCCACCACCACCAGTTAAATCTCCACCACCACCATATTACTATAAGTCTCCTCCTCCTCCGGTGCATTCTCCACCACCACCATACTATTACAAGTCCCCTCCTCCTCCAGTGCATTCACCACCCCCACCGTACTACTACAAATCTCCACCACCACCCGTTAAGTCACCACCACCACCATACTACTATAAGTCTCCACCACCACCAACAAAATCTCCTCCACACTATTACTATACTTCTCCACCACCACCAACCCCATACCACCCGGCCCCTCACCCTCACCACAAGAAAGCCATCGTAAAGGTCGTGGGTAAAGTTTACTGCTACAGTTGCTATGACTGGAAATACCCAATTAAATCACACGCCAAGCACCACCTTAAAGGTATAAATTTAGTTTTATATGAATTCGGTAGTATGCATGTGCTTTGATGGTTGACCCAGGTTCCATTTCTGGTTTTTCTCAATATTTTTATCCATCAATACACACATAAAATCTGCTTCCAAAAACAATTGATCAAAAAAAGAAACATGAAAATTATTTTATTTTATTCTTTAACTTACATCTTAAGAAACATGAAAATGAAAACTATGTATTTTTATACAATTAAAGCATGATTTTACAAGCTTTTATTTAATTTTTGAGATTTGAGATAACGTGCTATATATGAACTTTTAATTATATATTTATTTATTATTATACCATATAAATATGGACTAAAAAAAGAATATTTTTCAAATCCTTAAAATTACAATACTTTAAAAATTAAAGATGCCTTTTTAAAGTTCCGCATATTCTTTCTATGAAAGTTCTACATTTCATATCATATATTTATGATTATTTTTTACTAAAGAATTCATGCATGATAATGATTTATTTAATAAAATCAATCCAAAATTATACCAACCATACGAAACCATGTTTTAGTTTAATATTAATTAGATCACAAGGTATCACTTATTGCTGAGTGCTACAAAAGGTTGATACAAACGAACATGATGTTGACTTATTTTATATATCCGTGCAAAAGGTGCTGTTGTGGAGATCACATGTAAGGCTGCGGGTGAAAAAGAAATTTGTGCATATGGAAAGACTAAGATCAACGGTAAATATGCAATTACTGTTGAGGGTTTGGACTATTCAAAATATGGAGGAGCTAAAGGTTGTACTGCTAAGCTTCATATGGCACCAAATGGAACCAAATGTAACATTCCAACAAATCTCCATGGGGGTTTGAAGGGAGCTGAGCTTAAGGTCAAGTCCAAAAACGCTTATGAGGTTGTCCTTCAAGCTAAAGCTTTTGCATATGCTCCTAAGACTCCTTCAAAGATATGTGAGAAGCCAAAGCCAAAGCCGGAGCCCACTCCTTCTCCCTACTATTACAAATCTCCGCCACCACCGCCACCAACTTACTTGTACAAGTCTCCTCCTCCACCCGTGAAGTCTCCTCCAGTGTACCATTATACATCACCCCCACCACCTAAGAAATCACCACCTCCCCCATACTACTACACATCGCCTCCACCACCGATTAAGTCTCCACCACCACCATACCACTACACTTCACCTCCACCACCAGTGAAGTCTCCTCCCAAGTATTACTACACATCACCCCCACCACCTAAGAAATCACCACCTCCCCCATACTACTACACATCGCCTCCACCACCGGTTAAGTCTCCACCCCCACCGTACCACTACACTTCACCACCACCACCAGTTAAATCACCACCACCACCATACCATTACACTTCACCACCACCACCAGTGAAGTCACCACCCCCACCTTATCACTACACATCACCTCCACCACCAGTGAAATCACCACCACCTCCATACCATTACACATCGCCTCCACCTCCTGTTAAGTCACCACCTCCACCATACTATTACACATCACCTCCACCACCAGTGAAATCTCCTCCTCCACCATATTATTACACTTCACCACCCCCACCTGTGAAATCCCCACCACCACCATATCATTACACTTCACCTCCCCCACCAGTAAAGTCCCCTCCACCGCCTTACCATTACTCATCACCACCACCACCAGCGAAATCTCCACCACCACCATACATCTACACATCACCTCCCCCACCAGTCAAATCCCCACCACCACCATACTACTACACTTCACCTCCCCCACCCGTGAAGTCCCCTCCACCACCTTACCATTACATATCACCACCACCACCAGTGAAATCTCCACCCCCACCATACCACTACACTTCACCACCTCCACCAGTAAAATCCCCACCACCACCATACCATTACACATCACCTCCACCACCCGTGAAATCTCCACCACCCCCATACCACTACACCTCACCACCACCACCGGTTAAGTCACCACCACCACCGTATTATTACACATCACCTCCGCCACCAGTTAAATCCCCACCACCACCATATCATTACACTTCACCTCCCCCGCCTGTAAAATCCCCACCACCACCATACCACTACACATCCCCTCCCCCACCAATTAAATCTCCACCACCACCTTACCACTACTCTTCACCACCACCACCAATTAAGTCCCCACCACCACCATACCACTACACATCACCTCCACCACCAGTTAAATCCCCACCACCACCTTACCATTACACATCACCTCCACCACCAGTGAAATCTCCACCACCTCCTTACTACTATACTTCACCTCCACCACCAGTTAAATCTCCACCACCCCCTTACCACTACACATCACCTCCACCACCAGTAAAATCTCCACCACCTCCTTACCACTATACTTCACCTCCACCACCGGTTAAATCCCCACCACCACCTTACCATTACACATCACCTCCACCACCAGTGAAATCTCCACCACCTCCTTACCACTATACTTCACCTCCACCACCGGTTAAGTCCCCGCCACCACCATACCACTATACATCACCACCACCACCAGTGAAGTCCCCGCCACCACCATACCACTATACATCACCTCCACCACCGGTTAAATCCCCACCACCACCTTATCATTACACGTCACCTCCACCACCTGTGAAATCTCCACCACCCCCTTACCAATATATTTCGCCTCCACCACCGGTTAAATCGCCACCCCCACCTTATCACTACTCCTCCCCTCCACCACCTTTGAAATCGCCACCACCTCCATACCATTACACATCACCCCCACCACCTGTTAAGTCCCCACCACCTCCATACTACTACATATCTCCCCCTCCACCAGTACAATCACCTCCACCGCCCGTATACATCTATGGTTCTCCTCCACCCCCAGTTCATTATTAGACTCCCATAACTTCGTTGTTTGCTAGCTACAATCATGTAAGTATATCTCTTTATTTCTTTTGTCGATATTTTTAACCATTTCCAACATTATAATAAAAGTTTATATCCTGTAACATGTCCTTAACAACTTCATATACATTTATGCAGGTTTTATTTCGAGTACGAATTCAATAAAGAAGGCTCCACAAGGATATGTTTGAAAAGTAGTTCATCCACACCCATTCCTTTTTAATAAGGTCTTGAACGTTGCACTTCAAAGTATCAATATTTTCTATAACGACCATTTCCTTTCTACTTCATTGTTCTGGCCATCCTATCAATGAAGAAGAGCTTAAAGGGTTATATACCGAAAAATGTAAAAAAAATGTACAATTGGTTACCATTGGAAGAGGGTGATAAGCGTGTTGTGGCTTTAATATGTTTGTTTTCACGTTTTAATTTACATTGTATAAATAGGTAGATGATGGTTATTTTATATTTATATATATTATTGATTTGATCTTTTTTCATTTCCTTGTGGTGTCTTTTATGATTTTTGAGCATTTTTTCATGACTTAATATGCACTCAAAGAAAAAATTAATCATTAATACTTAATTAAGTACTCCTCTATATATATATATATATATATATATATATATATATATATATATATATATATATATATATATATATATATATATATATATATATATATATATATATATATATATATACACGTGCCTAAATAATTTATTGTGTAGTTGAAACGTATATCTTAAAACCTAGTTAATTTGAAAAAAAAAATTACACCTATCCCAACTGTTTTTTCATTTTTTATTTTTTTATTTTTTTAATTTTTTTAATTTTTTTAATTTTTTATTTTAAATTTTTATTTATTTATTGTTTTTGTAAACATTAATTTATGAATAGTTTTTATATGTTGTTTCAGTTGTGAATTGTCTACTTTCAAAACATGCTTCCATTTTTTTAAGCATGTAAACGACTTTAAAATGATCTCATCTTAAGAAATTAATTAACTGGGATTATCCACTTGAAATAATAAATAAATTACATAAAGATTTAAGTGATATCCAGATCATGTTCATCATAATTTAAAATGGAAGATGATCAGTTCCAGAAAGTGATTGAAGGAAATTTGAATGGCACAAGTTGGTGAGGAGTTAATCAATCATTCAACTGCTCCGGTTTGATTTCACATCTTTCTGGTCCAATAAGACTGAAATCTTAAAGATGTGTGTGGGGTGGGGTGGGTGGGGGTGGGGGGGGGGGGTTGGGGGGATTAGTTATGGGAAACGGAGTTTTTGTTTTTACTTTTGTTTAATAGTGATTAATAAACAGTTTTTTTTGGAATATAGCAAGAATATTATTAAAACTAAAAGATGGCAAGAAACTATAATTACAAGTTTACAACATGTTCATACAGTTTAAAGCCTGGTCACTATATATATGCCAACTATCCCAATTAAGAGAGTAACCATTTCGAGCTCTATTTTTAGCCATCGATAGTCAAAGAATTAGACCTCGCTATCCAATTCCAAGCAGTTTCGGACGGAAGAATTAATAACCTGCTTTTCTGATAGTAAATTAGTTTCTCATGAATGGAATTACATTAATTAACGTTATATATTCAAATAAAGGATATTGACTAATACATATAAATGGGCTAACTAAACTATACAACATATGGGCTACAAATATGTATATGCCAATACCTCTCTGCAGTTGAGCGGGAGGAGTGAGGACGAGAGCAAATGCTCAAACTAGATCTGAAATCCATGAAAAGAGATGAAGGAGGCCATTTGATGAAAATGTCTGCATATTGAAGGGTGGAAGGGACATGAGGAACACGGATTTGACCGCTAGCAACCTTGTCATGCACAAAGTGAATATCCATTTCTATGTGTTTGGTGTCTTGATGCTACACAAGATTAGACGATAAGTACACGACAATAACACACTTGCAGTAGACAATGGTTGCTTTGGCAATGGGTGAGTGAAATTATCGGAAAAGGTTTTGTAGCCAACAAGTTTCAACTACAACATTGGTGACACCGACGTATTCCGCTTTAGCACTAGAGCGAGAAACAATTTGTTGATGCTTCAATGACCATGATAAGAGATTGTTGCTGAGGAAAACGCAATAGCTACTAGTGGACCATCTAGTGGACGTGCATCCCTCCAATCAACATCTGAATATGCAATAAGGCTCGTAGTAGAGAAGGAATGTAGCTGAAGCCTGTAATCAACTGTAACACAAACGTACCTAAGAATTCATTTTTGAGGCATGTACGTACGGTTCCATGGGTCCTTCATAAATAAACAAATCTCATGCATGCCATAAGGTAGGATACGGTGGGTAAATGTAATATATTGAAGTCTACTTGCAAGACTACGATACAAAGTAGGGTCCAAAACTGGGGAGGCATCGGGATCCAATTTGAACTAACGCATATTTGCATCAAGAATGAAATGTACCATTGTCATCATGAGTAGTTGGAAAATCCCAAAAATTATGATAAATCGACCATATTCTTCAGGCCGGAAAGGCCAGAAAGGATATGATACGATGCATAAGATCTATAGATGAACTTGTGAGAAGAATATCAACATGAAGCAGTAAATATGCCACATCCTTACCTTTGCAAATAATAATAATAATAATAATAATAATAATAATAATAATAATAAATAGTGAAGAGTTGCACCGACTATGTGTAGAACTGATTCAAATGATGTATGAAGAAAAAGAATTGAAATCAAGCACGCGGTGGTTGTTTCAAACCATAAACAAATTTTGCAGATGACACACATAATCTGGATGATTCGGTTCTTTGAACCCCGAAGGCTAATATATGTAAACAGTCTCAGGTGGCTATACAAGAATGCATTTTGGACATCTAGCTAATGAATATGTCACCTACATGACACAATAAGACTTAAAACAGTACGAATAGAGGTCGGTTTAACAACTGTGCTATATGTCTCATCACAATCAATCCTATGTCGTTGGGTTTTGTCATTTTCCATTTGAAACTAATCATGCTTTGTAGAGGTCAAGAGACCCACCACCTTATATTTCTTCCGATATAACCACTTAGAAGGAACAATATTTTCTCTTGGAGGTATTGGATCTATCACCTAACTAATATTAGCAATAACTGGATAAATTTGTATTTCATGGAAATGGTACAATTAGTGTCTTGAAGGGCTTGTAAGTGAGATCAAGGAAGACGGGATTTGGTGGTGGTGTGAAGGTTGAGGCGCTGAATGGGCTTGGAGATACCAACAAGAGATGGTGTAGTGATCATATGAGACATCCCTAATTTTTACAGCCAGAAAAGACCTTTTTGTTCATGCTTATTTTAAATCAAAGTGATCTTTATAAATGCGGAATTTGTCCCATAAAAGTATTTCCGTAGAAAATCGTTTTCATTGATTATTAGAACGGGGGATGTCATAACTGATACAAATCATAATCATAGACGTAATCATTACAATCCTTACATTAACTTATTATACTAATGACCTAAACTCCTCGAATCTCTCAATGGATTGTACATTCATACGGCTACCTGTAATACAAAGAAATTGAGTGTGTAAAGTTTGGGAGCCTGATGAGTACATGGGGTTTTTAAGCCACAATACTATAATTATATATATTTTCGCAATAAACAAACAACCTAATTATCCTTTCACGATATTCTCGCTCTCTAATCCCTAAATGCTACTCTCAAGATACCTACCCTAAAGGATCTCTTTGAGTAGATAATACTAGTTTGGGGAATCCATAGAAATATTGTAAATAAGGTAACCCTGAGGGGGATAGAGTACCCAAACGAACACCTTTTTCTTTCATTGAAAAGTATGATCATTAACACACTTCCATAATTTAAGAACCATTTTTTCAAAGAAATTGGGGATAGAGTACCCAAATGAACAACTTTCCTCAAACCAAGGCTCTGATACCAATTTTTAATGACCCATTTTTTCAAAGAAAATTTTCATTTTTGAATAATTAAACACATTTCCATAATTTAAGAAATCCAATTCTAATTTTTTTTCAAAACACAAGTCAAATACAAATTTTATTAACAAACATTAGAGTGTCCTGTAAAAATACCTGAGAGAGAGAGAGAGAAAGAGAGAGAGAGAGGGAGTGCACGCTGCGCCATCACGTCTTTCCCTTGGGATCTGAAGTAGTTGAAACAAATCCACAACTTGTAAGCTAATTGCTTAGTGAGTTCCTCAGAGCATACCCCGTATAGTCCATATATCACATATCATATTAGCTAGAAAAGCTACATATCACATAAGCCATGTATGCATAAACCTGTAACGATGCCATGGGCTCCCCCTAGGGTCTTACACCTTTGTGCTATAGGCTACCCCACATGGTCTTTACCTGGCAATGCCATGGGCTACCCTACATGGTCTTACATCCAACATGCCATGGGCTACCCTACATGATCTTTACCTGGGAACACCATGGGCTACCCCACATGGTCTTACATCTAATTGTCGCAGGCTCCCCTGGGGCCTTTCATGCAATAACACACAATCATATAGCATATCAAATCAAAGAAATGACTAACATCCTACATGCACATACATAAACCTGTAAGGATGCCTTGGGCTCCCTTCAGGGTCTTACACCTTCTTGCCATGGGCTACCCCACACGGTCTTTACATATACCATAATCCTATAATGGGCCAGCCTTGGTGCCTTAAACCCATGGGTATGGTGAGAAGACTCACCTTTGTTCGAAGAATCTGAAAGTTTCTCTCCTAACTGTCCATAACTACCCACACTAAATAATAATATTAACCAATGTTAGAACTTTGCCAGATCAAAGGGAAACCCAAACCCCAAGTCCTTCTATAAAGGCCTAAATATTCTTCCTTTGCTAATGGGCCCAAAGTCCATGTCCAAAAATCATTAATGGGCTTCATGGCCAAATAAGGCCCAATCATAACATTTATGGCCAAAACAGATAAACTGGCCCACCATCCCCAAAATACAACTAGGCCAAATGACCAATTGAGGCCCAACATTTCAAAGGCCCAAAATGAAATCCAAGCCCATCTGTTGTGCGTACGCTTAGTGTACCACCCTGGTACACGCAACATACTGAGTCTCTGGGCCTTACGCGCTGCGTTCGCTAGGTTATGCCCAACGTACTAACATATTAAACACTTTCTCCATTAAGTGCTTAATACTCGATTCTCTTACGTCCAAAATTCAGATCTAAGCTTATTAGGACGACCTAGGGCATAAATTTGGCAACTTTATGCCTTTTCATGTCTCATATGTTCCCAACAACCCCATTAAGACCTTTTTAAGGTTCCTAATCCATGTATTAGGTCATAACACCCATCAAGACTTCATTTTTATGTTGTAAATGGACCAAAGGTCCTCAGATCTAACGTTTCTAACCTCTAGAGTTGCTCAAATCACAAGAGGAGATCCAAAACCAATAAAATGGACCAAATTAGAAAACCCTAACTAGA